GTTTGTTTGGGAGAAGAAAGGGGATGTACTTCACTGTTTAGGAGGAGATAGGGGATAGACTCCATTTAAAATTAAGTTGGCCGGAGTGTCCTGGGTGAAAGTCCCGAAATCTAGTATATATATGGGTGCTGGTTCCCTCGGATGAGAGTTCCGTAAATTGGCAAAATAGAAGTGTTGGAGTGATGAATGTATTGAATTGTGAACTATTGAGTTGTAATCTCATTTTGGTTGATTAGATAATAATGAACTTGGTTAATGGATTAACCCGAAATGAATGAATGGAAATGGATTGAGATATGGTCGTTTATCTTGAATGGTTAGGGAAAGAATGTAAGTTGATCATGATTATGAAACATATTTGACACTTATATCTCAGTTAAACCTCATATAATGTGTTAGTTTATCTTTACTGGTCTTTGGCTCATCCTACTTGGGAAAACACTTTCAGGTGCTGGTGACATACCACCTCCAAGGACATAGCTTGGGAGGATTCAGAGCTGAAGGCCCCATTTTTGCTATATTTGTGCTTAAATGTTTATTAAAGCCAAGGGCTTAACTTGTATAGAGCTTAGAACTCTTTCTTTTGTTATGACCAAGTGATATCTTGGAAAGATGTAAGCCTGTAGGACATTTATTTTGTTATCGTTAATTTGAACTACACGCTGTAGATTCAGAATAAATGTTTATGAATGTATAATGCATGTAATTTCCTTTTGTAATAAAAACTCTGATGAATGAAATAGATCATTTTATTATGTTCATAGATCTTATGGAATGAATTGTTGTATTATATTTTGGGGGCGTGACAAAGGGATAATTATTATTTTTAAAATAATTAAATAAATAAATCAGTAAATAGTTTTTTTTAATCTATTTTATAAATTGACAAATCAAAAATTTTAGAAAATTGATTAATTTGTCCGATTAAGTGATTTAAAATTTTGATAGATATAGACCAAAAAAATAGATAATTGTATTACTAAATCATAATTCAAATTCAGATAGTGTTATATCTTTTTGAGACGCATATCTAAATTTTTATCTTCTTTGTTTTTGTTTGATTTCTATTTTTTTTCTCAATTTATTTTAGATGGAGTTATGGGTTTCTATTTTTTTTAAATTTAATTTATCTGTGATTTCTATTTGTTTTTAATTATTATCAATTTAGGTAAGTTATAATGCTAGTTAAATATGTGATAAATATGCGAGTTTTATTGATTTAAAGTATGATAGTAGAAGATATTTTCAAATCCGATTTGTTTAGATAGCCTTTATAGATTTTAAAATTTTAAAATTGGACATTGAGAGGCAAAAGAAATATTTTAACTGAATAAATAAAAATCTAATTTATTAGTTTTATCTTTTTGTATATCTGATTTTTAATTTTTTTTTGTTGTGTTATAATATAATATATAAGATATAGACAGATACCCACAACTTTCATAAAAAATATTATTTGATTTTTTGAAGGAGAGAACAGGAATGCAAATTTTAATTTTTTTTTTTTTGAAAATTGGTGAGAGGGATTATGATGGAGAGATTATGAAATATTTTTGTTATCTTTCCAATTATTATTTCTAAAATAATTAAATAAATAAATCGGCCAATAGGTTTTTTAATCTATTTTATAAATTGAAAATTTAATAATTTTAGAATGAGAGTTTGGAACTCTTAGGAGGGTTCTCATTAGAAACCTCATTTTTCTTATATAATATATAGATAGATAGATAGATAAATATAGATATTTATATTTGTTTTAGATATTTTTTTAATATACAAATTATTTTTTTTAGATTTTTTATAAAAATAATTTAATAATCTCATCACTAATCATATTGTATGGAGGGAAGTTGAAAATGGTACTGCAATAATTATGAGAGAAGTAAAAAAGTTTTGTGGGTTGGGAGAAGTCAATAAGTGTTAAGATTATTTATTTTTTTAAATCAAAAAATTAGAAAATTATGATTGACATATTAGAGCTCCCACAAAACTTGTGGGTTTGAAACTCTTTTTTTCTTATATAATATATAGATTAGATGTGATATTTTATCATATACTATTTGAACTTATTTCGGGTGCTTTGAGAAGTGTTTTTTTCTTCTTCTTCTTTTGACTTATTTTTGTCTTTGGTAATTTTTTTAAAAATTTTCAAAAACTTTAAGTTTTTAAATGCAAATCGACAAGACGAATCCAAAAATTATAATTTTTTAAAATTTTTTTTGAAAAGATAAAAATAAACCAAAATTGGCATATGCGCATATTATTCTATTTAGATCATAATTATTTTATTTGAGTTACATCACTTCTCTACTACATCACTTCAAACACCCTCTAATAGTGTCTTTAATGCTTCATCTTTTGTTTCTTCAAATTTGAAATGTACAAAACTGGTGCTCTAACGTTAATATCAAATTGAGAATACTGAAATCTTTTACCAAATTACTGTAAAGAATTGTTAGCTTTACAAGTATGCATTAGCCCTAGACGATTAGTCGGATGTTCAGTCAGTTGTCTCCCTGGTCGACCATCTCAAAATTTGTTTCAGAATTTCGAAAAATTTGCACTGGTCAGTTGACAGGCCAAACATTCTCAAATTATTTTGTTGAAACGCGCGATATCAGATGAAACTTTTATTCAAATTTGATGAAAAAAAAGAATTAACATTGGAGATACTCTAAGTAATCTTTTATGACTTATTTTTGTCTTTTGTGATTTTTCTTCTAGATTTTTTTTTTATAAAAAATATACCTTTTAGATTTTCTTCGACAAGACGGACTGGAAAAGTAAAAAAAATTAGCATAATTTTTTTTAAAAAAAAAACACTAAAAACAAAAAAAATTCAAAAACAGAAATATTTTTTTTTTTTTTTAAATTTTCAAAATAGGTCTTTGTATTTATGAATTGTTTTAGCCAAATAATTTCTAGGCAAACCAGGCCATTGTTATTTATTACAAATAAGTTTCGGGATTACCGACTTTGATTAGGATTAGGAATAGGATAACTTGACGCGTTAGGAAACAAAGCGCAACCTATAAGTACAGACCTCCTAACAGACCTCCTATCCCCTTCCATCTCATCTCATTCATCATCAATCTTCAAACACAGCCTCTGAATTCCCCAATCCACTCTCTCTCTCTACAGTAATATCCATATCTTCTGTTCTATCACACACACTCTCTCTCTAAATCGTCAATCATGGTGGCTGCAGCGGCGTCAAAAGGTTCAGAGACACTATTGTTAGGCTACCTTCCTCAGAAAGATACCGCCTTCAAGCTCCCTCGACAGACTAGGGTTAAGAATAAGACCCCAGCCCCCATCCAAATCACCGCCGACCAAATCCTCCGCGAAGCCCGAGAGATCCAGCAGCAGGAGTCGTCCCTGCTTCGACCCCCCAAGCACCAAATCATTGATTCCACTGAGCTCGTCCTATACCGCGAACGAAAGCGCAAGCACTTCGAGGTCCTCATCTCCCGACGCGGAAGCAACAACCCTAGTGTCTTCGTCAACTACGCCCTCTGGGAAGAGTCCCAAACCCAATTCAATCATGCCCGGTCTGTTTGGGAACGAGCCCTCGACGCACATCCACGAGACCACACTCTGTATCTCAAGTATGCCGAGATGGAGATGAAGAACAAATTCATCAATCGGGCGCGAAATGTTTTTGGCAGAGCGGTCCCTCTGTTTCCTAGGGTTGATCAGTTGTGGTACAAATACATTCACATGGAGGAGATGCTTGGGAATGTGGCCGGAGCGAGGCAAATTTTCGAGAGGTGGATGCAATGGGCACCGGACCAGCAAGGTTGGTTGTCGTACATCAGATTCGAACTTCGTTACAAGGAGATTGAAAGGGCTCGATTAATTTTCGACAAATTTGTACAGTGCCATTGTAAAGCCAGTGTTTGGATTAAGTATTGCAAGTTCGAGGTAAAGAATGGAGAAACGGCAAGGGCTAGGACATGTTTTGAGAGGGGAATAAAGAAGATGATAGACAACGGCGAAGAGGCTGAGGAATTGCTTGTGGCCTTTGCAGAGTTTGAAGAGCAGTCTAAAGCGATCGACAGAGCAAGGTGGTGATAAATACTAGATAGCCCCCTATCATATTTAAAATTTTAATTGTTGATTATAGTTCATATTTAGACCTAGTTTGGGAAGACTAAATAAGGCCTAGTTTGGGAAGACTAAATAAGTGCACTTTTTGACTTTTTATGAAATAAGAGTTAGGTTTGGATTGGGTTTGAAGTGATGTGTTAGAGAGGTGATGTGACTTAAATAAGATGATGTGACTTAAATAGGATAGTGATTTTTTGACTTTTTGTCTTTTTTCAAGCATGCCAAACTTGGCCTAAGTGTACTTTTTGACTTTTTATGAAATATGAGTTGGGTTTGGGTTGAATTTGAAGTGATGTGTTAGAGAGGTGGTGACTTAAATAAGATGATGTGACTTAAATA